GATCAATAGATTTCTACAGACTACAAAAATATGAATAAAATGAGAATAAAACTATAATTACAAACCTAATATCAAACTTAAATAACAATCACAACAATTTCATCAATTAGACAAAACAAAATAATTACTGATACTGAACATGGATACCATAGTTTGATCCATGCAAAAGCTTAAACATATAACATGATAGACATATGGCATCATACAAAAATGATACACCTGATAATACAAATATAATGTCCATAACCTTATCATTATTTGTAAATAGAGGCCTGAAAGAATTGCAAATGAAGCATCATATTAAAGAAAAAAATCTATTTAAAAAAGTCATGAAGAACAAAAATCCTACATGAAAATCACAATCTTGTTTTGTATTTAACAATGACTTACCTGCAGACTGCCAAAGATTCAAAAAACTAGAATAAAATGTCAATACAAAATTTTAACCCTAAATACAAACATTAAAACATAGACTAAAAAGTTACAAACCAAAAAGAAAATGAATCATGGAAAACTCTATGCAAAAACACACTATATATTGATTAAATAAAATCGTGGCATAATTTGCTAGATGCAAAAAGCCAAATAAATTTCAATATATGATGATTAAAACATGTAAAAAAAATGGATTTGTTATAAAGAAAACTTCTACAGAATTACAAATGAAAGATCTTTTTGGTGGAAGAAGATCTATCACAGTTTACAACTTTGTTTTATATCAACTAATAAAATCACACAAAAAAAAAAAAACATATTAACATGTACTCAAAAACACCAAATCAAATAAAGAATAACAACAACATCATAATCAAACCTCTTAAATGGTCATAACAAAAATCCTCGAATGACCTCAAAATCAACATATTTTTACAAACCATAAAACCATCAATAAAATCAAAACAGAACTGCAAAAATAAAACAAAAACTTGATAAAATAAAGATAATAAACTATGGACTCCATCAAGTACATAAACAGATATCGAACTTAGATAATGAGTAAAATAATCCCACCAAGATGAACTTCAAAATCAATAAACAGACTAATTATTGATATCCTAAATAAAGAATTAAAACTTCTATAACTTACCTGAAAATTGACAACCACTTAAAAAATCAAAAGCAAATACCAACAAAAAGAATAAACTAAAATCATTTAAGAATAAAATTGTTAAATTGCAATATTAAATTCAAGTATTAACCATTCATATTTCATTTTTCACCACAATATTTAAATCATTTCAAAAGAGAAAAAAAAAATACAGATTATAAAAAAGGCTGCAACCACCACCACTAAACCTAACATCAACCACCACACTGACAAAACTATTGCCACCATCAACAAACCTAATGTTGATTACCACAATAACATCAGTTCAAAACCCATAAAATAATTTGCATGAAAAAAAAATAAAACATAAAACTAATAGCTTCTATCAATTCACAACCCATAATTACTAACTAAAATTAAAAAAAAAAAGCTTAATAAAAAAAAAACACCATACACTAAAAAAAAATTCAAATGCAAAATTGATATCCAAAAAACCTAATAATTACATAAAAAGAAAAATTGGCACAATGCAAGAGAAACATAAACAATTAATCGAATAAAATGAATACGCAGAAACAATAACATCAAAATAGTAACGAAAAGACATTAAAAAAGAATAAATCATATAGAAAAAAGAAAGAAAAAAAATTAAGAAATCAAATATGAGAAGAAAAAAATAAACTCACCTAGATGAATAAAACAAACAAAATAGGAAAAATACTGAAAAGCATAAAAAAAAAAAAGTGGAAAGTAGAAAAGAAACAAATCCCAAGCTTAAAAACAACTTTCACCCCAAAATTAACCACTAAATCCTTTTTTTAATACATTGTTGAGCTGTCCAACTAATAGCTAAATAGGGACAGTTTTTATATAATGTAATAGATATAATATGATATATAAGATGTCAAAAATATTAAATTATTCACATTAAATCATTTCCTTTCTTGTTAGATTCTTTGAATTTATATATTTATATAAGACATTTAGTTTAAAAGTTTCTTTCTTTAAATCCTAATGTCAAAAAAATAGATTTTTTTGAACTTAATTCTAGTAACTAAAATTAAATGTTCAATACTTTATTAGCAAATTACACGATTGTTAGCCATATAGATGTTTTTGGTTATGATTCTTAAATGTATTTTGCAATGAGATCTATATAAAATAAATAGCTTGTACAAAAAAATAATAATATTAATGTAGTTTGACAGCTATTGTTTATAGGAATAACAAAATCCACTATAAATGTATAGATTACAAATAGCACAAATTTTAAATAAACTAATGTAAATAGCAAAATTTTTTATAAACGTAGAGGTTACAAATAATAAAAAATTTAAGATAAATTAGTTTTCATGCTAAGCTCATGGAATATCTCTTATGCAGTCCAATGGTTTCACTATTTTTGTGACATCCTACAACTCTATGAAATTAGAAATTCAACTCTCACATAAAAGATTACATCTCTCATGATTCTAAAGTTAAAATTCATTTCATATTTATTTTATATTTATAAAGTTTTGTTACCTAATTAAAAAGAATTATTGTTCATTAAAAATTTAATTTATCTTTTAAGTATATTTATCGCATAAGTATATTTAAGAATTAAGTAATTCTTATCCACAATAAATTCATTGGAATTGAAACTAATTACCAAGTAGAATTTCAGTCAAATATCCAACAATTATATTATTTTTATGTAAATATATTTATTTATTTTGTAAAATTATATTATTCTTAGAACTTAAAGTATGTATTTCTTGAGAAAAAAATGCATTGTCATTAAGTAATCTAAAAAAACAATAGCCAAGCAACAACCAAGTGATCTAATCTTTTGTAAAAAATAATAATAACAATAATAATAAACAAAATAAAATCTGTAAAATAATCTAAGCATTTATACTATATAAAACTTTTGACTGATGTTACGAGTGAAGCCAACTCAATGGTGAATTGACTAAAAACCTCGGTAATGATAAAAAATAAATCAGAAGAGGTGTATTAATCTTTTATTTTTTAAAAAAATATTATTTAAAGTTATTTTGTTTTGAATTGACAATTGTTTCATTTTCCTATTTTAAAATTGCATAATCAATTTTTTTTTATCAATTTTTTTATTTAAAGCTATTTGTTTTGAATTAACAATTGTGTCTTTTTTATTTTAAAATTGCATAATCAATTACTTTATTTTTTATACTTTTAGATATAAAATGCTTTTTTAATATTTATCTAAGTAATAAAATTATTTATTGTTTTCTTAAGATAATGTGTTATGTGTAAGAATGTAAAACTATTCTAGCTTCATCCGGTGTATATTTGAGCTTGACTCTTTCATTATTAAATCAAAATTGAATTTAAATTCAGATTATAAAAATAATTAGTTGAACGAATTTGAATTCTTTAATATTAAATTTAAAAAACTACAATCATAATTAAGAATTTTTTTAATACCTTTTAATATATTTAATATGTATATATAAATAACAAAAATATAATATTTAATATCTATGTTATAGTTTTGTGAGTTTTTTTCGCACATGAAGTAAGTTTATAATCTTATTTTCATAATTAGAGTACTTTCAAACTTTTTTCTTAAAAATAAATAGTTTTTGCACAATTGCATTTCATGTCAGCGTGGTAATTCCACGTCACTCTCTTTTCCTACATTTCTCCCTTTTTCACTTCTCTTCCATTTTTTTTTCTTGGTTGTCTGCTTCAAATCCAAAAATTCTTGTAAGTTTGAATGAAGGAAAAAAAAAAAAAAAACCCATTTGCCAATTTTTTAAAATCATTATCCTACACAAAACTTGTGGGAGTGAAAATATGAAATCACAAAATTCTTTTTTAAATCATTCTCAAATTATCAAAATCTCATTAAATGATGAAACCAAACTCTTTTTTTTTTTTTTTTCTAATTTTGGTCAACTCTTAATAAGCAAAAGGATTTTTTAGGCTTTGATAAATTAAGGAAACTTTCAAATTTGAGTATTTTGTGAAGATAATTTTGAAACAAAATGCAAGAGGGCTTATCTATTTAAGTCTTATTTCCTGTAAATACTTATTTGTTGAAGTTTGTTTAGAACATGAGTTTGGAAGAAAAATATTAAAAAAAAAAAAAAAGGATAGCAAAATGTTGCAGCTTGCGCGGAAAAAATGAAAAGAATTGATGATAGAAGATGCTAAGTTGGATAGAACGCTTACGTGGAAGTAAATTGAGTCAAATTATTTTTATTTTGAAAAAGAATTTAAAAGTATTCTATTTGGGAATTAAAGTTTAAGAGTACGTTGACTTGGAAAAAATCATAATTTTATAAAAAAAATTAAGTATGTCAAGTCAAATTCAAACAATTCAAACAAATTACAAATAAAATTTTAAAGTTTTAAATCTAATTAGACTTAATCCGACAATCAATTGACTCAATTAAACTTTTCATTCATCTTATAAAAAAGACTTACCTGAAGCCAAAATTTTAAATTCAATTAAATAAAAAATAATTTCGTTTAGTTTGACTGCAAAGTCAAATTTCAAAAGGTACAAAATTAAAATATTCTTTTATGATTCAAAATTTGTTTCCATTAAATCAATCAGTCATCTTTCGAACGTACAAAATTAATGCTTGAAAAAATGATTTTTAAATTCTAATTAAAAGAGACAGAGAATAAAAACCTTTCCAATCACACAATATTGACGTGATCACATACGATACATACAACTATCTCAAACTTGTTTCCCAAGTAATTATTCATTTAATAAACATCTTAATTTTTAATTATTTATCAAATATCCAAAATGCCCTTCCTTGTAATAAAATCTCGTCCCTTACTTCAGGGAAGATCCCTTTACTTTCTCCAAAAGTAAGGCTAGAGCATGTAATTTTCTCTTACTGAAAAACCTCAAAATTCTAACGTGGCTAGGGATGCTCGCCCGTACTCTGTTCTATGCTACGGCACGAAATCTGTGCGTCGCCGCGTTAAACGGCCATAGCATTATTTATTTTAACAATTTGAAAATTAATTAAAAAAAAAATGAAAGGGACGGTTAAATCAACCTTCGTAAACCTATAAATAAATTTTGTAACTGCTCCTTGTTTTCCCCATTTGGTTCTTTCTCTAAGCCACGGAAGTGTAACGCTCTTTACTCTTTCAGAAAAAATAAAAAATCTTTTCATTTCTTGGTTGTAGATGATCAAATGGTTGTAGAAGATCAAGTCTCGGGTACGATCGTTAATGAGGAAATCCCAGATGCTACGTTCGAAAGCACCGAGGTTGATTCGGGTTTCCGGTTTTTTGTCGAAAACGGTTTCGCTAATAAGATACGTAAATCAACCTCAGAAGATTCAATCATCAGAGCAAGTTTTTTCTCAGGCATGGGTCAAAATTTGGGGTTGGTTGAGAAAACAAAAATCGTGGCAATTCATAAGAACTTGAACCCTAGTTGTTCAGGGAAAGTTCGAGCACAAAGCTTTCAGGTTTTCGCAAAGGCGGTGGCCGACAAGCGTGGTGGAGATGCCAATCTCAAGTATGCTTGGTATGGTGCTTCCAGGGATGAGATTTGCGAGATTTTGATACATGGGTTTAGTTGGTATCGCAAGGCTGCTGGAAATATCGATTGTTCTAGACGTTGCATCTCTTTATCTCCCGCAAAATTTTCCTTCGACAGGTAGGCTTTTTCTAAACTGTTTTCTAATGATGATTTTTATTGAATTGTTACGTTCTGTAGATGGTATGTATAGCTCTTTATAATTTCTGGATTCAATTTCTTTTTTGAGACAATAATTAGAATTTAGAAGAAACCAAAGCTTCTCTGTTAAAAATTTTCACCCAAACTATCTAGTAAGACCTAGGCTAGGCTCGTGTTTTTCTCATGGAGGGTTTTCTTCGTTTTCAATTACTTGTTTCTTTGGTAAATTAATTGTGTTTGTTAGACTGGTTAACAATAACAAGCTATATGCATTAACAAGCGCAAGAAAGTAGTTGCAATTGTTAGCAGGATGATCATCTTATTTTGTTTATAGCTATCTACAAAGAAGCAATTAATTATTGATGCTCAATTTTCCTTTTAATTATAAACCTCTTTTCATCTTTTTTTTTTCTTTATGCAAAGGAAGTCACAATTTGATGATAGAAAAAAAAGTTAAAATATTGGGATCTGAATATCATACTTTCTTAATGTCACTTTTAAAAGTGATTTTATAAATTAAGTGAATTAAGTTTTTAATTCCTTTTCATCATTCTTTTTCCCTATGAATCTAGGACAAATTTGTTAACCCTAGGTATTCAGTTACCAACATATGCTATAACATTGATTTTCATATGAAATCTCATTGGCTGTTTGGTTCGGAGAATCTGATTTTTTTTTCCTAAATCTTACTTTTGGGAATGTAATTCCCATGTTTAGTTCACAAGTACATAATTCCTAAGAGTAATTTTAGAATTTTAACAGTATCCAAAAATCTCAAAATCAGAAACTCACTTCTATTTATGATTTTTTAAGATTTCAAGAGAAAAATTACTTTTTAACCATATTTGATTTGAATAAAAAAAAAATGTTTTTTTTTATTTTACCTCATGAAAATCAATGTATGAAAATCAAATAATTGTGAATTGCTTTTGTTATGGAATTTTTTAATTTGAGTAATTTTTTTATTTTTTTCACTCAAATATTGTGTTTGTAGGCTTTGAAACACAATAATTGTGATTATTTACTGTGTTTCTTTGAACAAAAATGTAGTATTTGATAACTCGTAAATCTTCTTTATATTTTCTTACTCGAATACTACATTTGTAGTCTTTGAAATACAGTATTTATGATTATTTACTATGTTTCTTTGAATAAAAATGTAATATTTGATAACATGTTAACTTTTTTATTTTTCACACTTAAATATAATAAAATTTTTAATAATAATGATTTAATTAAAATTTTAATAAAAAATCAAAATAGATAAATTGATAGAATTAAATGAGAAAATCAATAACTAATATTTATTCAACAGTAAAAGTTTTATAAAAATTTTTATTAAAAATAATTATAAAAAATATATTAAAATTTATTAAAAATTTTTGAAAATTTATACACTTAATTTATGTATTAAGTACTTTTAATTTTTTTATTTTTATTTAATAATTTAATACAAAATTTTATAAATTTTCCTTAAAAAAAAGGAAAAGATGATATTCAATAACTCGCACCAACCATCATAAACAAAAGGGTAAAAGTTTTGGAATTCCAAAACTCCAACTTCATTGCATGTCATTGTCGTATTTATTGTGTTTTTTGAAATAAAAATGCAGTGATTTTGCAAATTTTTTTATATTATAGTTAGATACTATAGTTTTAGGCTTTAAAATGCAATAATTAATTACTAAATTTTTTTTTTTTTATAATTGATCATTCGAATATTGCGTTTTTAATATTTGAAACGCATTAATTGATGATTATTTTTTTGACAAATTGTTATGTTTGTTATATAATGAAAGACATTACAGTAAAAATAAATGCTTAAGTAATTTGATTTTTTTCTCAATCAAATATAAGAATCCAATAATTTTATGCCATGAAGATTCACTTCATTTCAAGATTTTACACTTTTTTGAGGATTACTTTTCCTCTTAGAATCTAAAATTCTGCAAACTAAATGCTCCGTAAGAGTTTTTATTTCTTTTTGGGATAAATAGGGTTTTCTTTTTACTCAAACTTTGTGATGTAGTGAAATATATGCAATCGATGCATAAATATGCTAACTTATCATATTTCTAATAATTTTTTTCTCAATGTTTTGCAGTGTGTTGTCTTCAGAGGTTGATGAAACTGGATTGAGGCATTTGTTGTTATGCCGTGTTATATTGGGAAAGCAAGAAGTGGTGACCGATTCTAATCAGTTTCATCCAAGTTCCCCGGAGTTCGATTCTGGCGTAGATGACCTTTCAGCACCCAGAAAATATATTGTTTGGAGTGCGTACATGAATTCTCACATCCTCCCTTGTTACATCATCAGTTTTGAGGCTCCTTACTTGAGAGGTAAGCAGCTTAACTAAGATGCAACTTTTGTTTAGTGTGTGACTATTAATTTGTTTCTATACATTTATTTATCACATAATATAGTATTTATCCAGTCTGATTTCTGCATCAATTAGACTCCAAAGGATTACTAGAGGCGAATACCATCCAGCCTAGATCACCATGGATGAGTTTTCCCAAGTTGATTTCTATGCTCTCAAGGTTTTTAGGTCCTTCAGACATGGCTTCCCTTAACAAACAGTATGCAGATTTTCAAGTAAGTGCATTATGTTCTCATCTCTAAACCCCATTTTTGGCTTCGGGACTTTTATTTCATATACAACTGGATCTCACCATTCATTTCTATGCATCTGGTTCTTACAGGAAAAAAAGATTACAAGGCCGCAACTGATACAAAGTGTGAAAGAAATAGCGGGAAACCAGTTGTTAGCGGCGGTAGTCAACTTGTACATAAACGAGGTGATGTTTTATATTCTAAACCATGTATTTTACTTTCCGCTTCAACAAGTTTCTTTCCAAAATTGAATTAATGCAAACAAATTGCATTTTAGCTAGTTGGCTTTCAGAACCTTTGTGTGTGTGTGTGTGTGTCTATATATATCTATATATATATATATATCCCAATTTGAAATCAGCATACACTTTCCCCCACATGCTAGTTCCTGTCTCTTCTTCAGCACTGATGTCAGACTGGTCCACAAAGTTTTTGACAATTTTCACATCTTTAATTGTTCATGGTAGAAATTGGGTTTACTTCATTACCAAGAATATGACTAGTAGTTTTTGTCATAAATTTGTTAGACGTCGCTTTTAAGGGTTTAGTTTCAACTTTAAGTCTATACCTTCCTTGACATAAGCATGTGAGTTGGCTGCTTAGCATAATTTTTGTTTGCTTGAAGGGGATAACTTCCATCTGTCATGATTCTTGAACAATAAATCTTTTCTATTTCAAGATCATCAATTCAAGTTGTTAATTGATCGGGTCTTTAGAGTGCAGGAACTTCAAGTTAGCAGCAGCAGGAGGAGCAGCAAATGACCGGTGATGCAGCTTGTCCGACAACGGGTATAGTAGTTGCGGTAATAAGAGTTTGGAGGCTTAATTGACTTCTTGCAAGTGGCGTCTTCAGTCTTGGAATGAAAAACAGAACTAGATAGGATTTTAATATAGGGTTATACTCTTAATGTTTCTTCAATTCCTTGAAAAGAATACTAGAAAATTTGGCAATTCGACTTTTTTATCTCCTTTTACTGGAGGTCATTGACGTTGAACAACTTCTGGAGAACTTTGTTAATAGCAAGACAACTCCTTCTGGACCATTTCTGCCCCAACATAAATATATCAGGGATCTTCTTGACAAATTTTCTATGACCAGTACCGAAGATACAGTTACACCAATGGCAACCAAAATCAACTCAACCTTCATGATGGAACTGGTCCAGCAATTTTAACACTTGGATCAAAATTATTAAATTTAAAATATTATTTTGATTCAAATAAATTATTAATTTAATTTTGATTCAAAAAAAAAAAAAAAAAAGAGTTACACTAGGGTAACAGTATCTCTATATATATATAGGGGAGGAATTAACCTATTTGAGCAAAGGGTTTTTATTAGGATAGTTAAACAATAAACCTAAAATCAATTGATTATAGGTGTACGAGTTTAATTTAAATATAATATCACATATAACTTAGTATTTAAATGATGTGATATAATATTATTTTAACAAATTTTTATCACATATAAATAAAGATAAAAACTTACAATATAACAAACTTGAAAAGAGTATAAAGTAAAAATCTTTAAACAAAATTTGAGCTCTAATATAATGTTAAACATTCAATCTAAAATTAATCGATGTTGAGTCACAATTTGCCCGAGCAATAATGTCATGCAATTTGTTTGAGCGACAATATCATGTTAAATATCTAATTAAACAATACTATTTTAATAAACACAATTTTGACACGTGTAAAATAACCAATGTTTCTTGATCGTTTCTAAGAATTAGTTAACAAATCCTGACTTTTACTACAATAATTGAGTTTTCAAAAAAAATTATTTTGAATCTATTTTTATTTATATAAAATAAAAATATTTTTAATAATCTGATTTCTTCTTCTTATGGGACAGAAGCAGTTAGGATCGTTTTTTATTGTCTATTTTTTATTTTTATTATTTATAAATATAAATTTTAATAAATAATAGTTCCCAAAATAATTTTTTAGTAGAAAAAATTATAAATAGATTAATATATCAATTTTTTAAATTGATATGAAAATTTATACTTAATAATTTAAAATGATATGATTTTTTTAATTGTTTAATCTGTTACAAAAATATTCTTAATTTTTTAAAATGATATGAAATTTTTAAAAATATATATTGAAAATTTTAACTTTATTTTAATTTTTGAAAAGCTATTTTTATTAAAAAATATTATTTAACTAATATATTATATTAAATAAAAATATAAAAATCTTATTTGAAATTTAATATTTAACAAAATATATTTGAAATATACAAAAATTATAGATACAATTATCTTGGTTCCTAAATTTTGAGTAAAATTTTATTTTGGGTTCTCCATCAGCCATTTGAGATATTAGTTATTGCCATTTACGTGGCATCAGCTATCACTTAATATCGATTTAAACGTTTTTGTAGATTAAAGGATCAAAATGATGACTTTGAAGAATCAGAAATTAATTGGAATTTTTATAATTAAAAATCAAAATAAAATTTGATTCAAAATTTAGGGAACACAATGCTATTAACCTTAATAGCATCTTGGGTTTAATCAATCAAACAAAGACGCTAGTTGAACTCGCATTATTTAAATCGATTTAGAAACATAATTTTTAAGAATAAAATGCAATTATAAAAAAATATTTATCATTCATTCTTAGCGAGTATATCATCTATAATTTTTTTTATTACAATCTTAAAATTTCCTATTCACCAAAAAAAAAAAATTATTTAAGGGTCTATCATTTATAAGTATAGTTCTGAATTGTAATTTGATGGACCATGTACAATTTTAAATTATAATTGGTTAAACGTACTCCAATGATTATAGGTGAAATATTTTTTTAAAATTAAATCTTATAAATTAAAAATAATCTTTTATTTTTAAAAAAGAGTTGAATCATTGTAAACTAAGAGAATAACTTATCCAATTTTATTTTACCATTAAATTGAACATCAAACATGAGATAGAATCACTAGTACCCTATTGTTTTATTGGTTATTCAATCTAAATAATAGAATAGAAGAAGAATAATGTTGAATTTTCAGTAGCATTATTTATAACCAATATAGGAAAGGTTGAACGCGGGGTATCAGACCAATTGAAGTGTTTGAGCTAATGGTTTCAAAATTTCCGATTTATTGAAAGTAATATAAAGTAGCCATAAGCTCGGTTGCTCCAGAAGCAACATATGCATGAGGCATAAAAGTTGGCCCAAGAAAGAAGTGAGCAGAAAAGAAGTTGGGGCAGAGAAAAGGTTTGACGCAAAAAATTGGAGGAAGAACGAAACAACAAACCTGAGTTTTTTCCTAAAATGAGGTAATTTATAATCTTATTTTAAAAATTGGAGTTGTTTTAAACTTTATTCCTAATATAAGGTACTTTTGCACACTTAAGTTCCATGTCAGCATTTCATTTTAAAAACACTTACGAATCAGCATATTTAAACCCTACTCACTTCTCCCTTTCTCTTTTCCTTGAAACTACATATACATTTCTCTAAAAATTTATTTTTTCTGTTCTCAAATTAATTCTTAAAAGGATTCAATTACCATTGCTCACGTTTATAAAGGTAATTATACCAGTGTTTCTATCTCCCATCAAATATTAGAAGAATCAAAAATCTTGGTGGAATCTTCATTAGTTTTTACCGGTAGAATCTAGATGCTACTAAAAATATGATATCACCAAATAGAAAATCTAAAATAATTCTGGTTGAGTGTTTCCTTCTCTTTCACTACCCAGCCTCCACATATCTTTCAAATTTTGATGACCCAAAATGATTATTTGGTAAAGTAATCATATGTAATAATCAAGAGTAACTCTCTGTAGTTTTTTGAATACAAATTCAATAAAAAAAAAATCAGAGAAGCAGAGTGGCCAACATTGAAAACAAAAGCTTTTCACCTTGTTACTAGACTTGAATTTCAATATGTTTATTTCATTTCTTAGTTGGGTCTACATATAGATTTAGAGTTCAAAAGGGGTCATATTGGATTAGTGTTGATGTTTAATTTTTTATCAAGGAGAGCTTCAAGGCAGCAGCTATATCTCCCAAACTTGCAGTATTTTTCAAAACAGCTGTATCCTTAAAGCCCGTCTTACCAAATTCATTGGAGTTGCTGTTGTCATCTGTGCTAATTGATGGATCCCGAATCGTGAAAGAGAAGTTTTGTTATATTAGTCAGTTATATAATCCTGATGAAAATGATTTTATTAGTCAATATTCAATATTAGATAAAAGCAACAAAAAAGCATTAATATAAATATATTTTTTAATTTATTTGGACAGTTGTCAGACAGAAAAACTAAAAATCGTGTGATTTTGCTTTTAAAGTTTCTTCCAAATGAACCAAATAGAACTTCGAAAGTCAATGTTTGTACCAAGAAAGAAAAGTCAAACTTGAGATGGACCGAACGAACAAGTTGTCCGACGGTTGAGGTAGGATATATAGCAATTTGCCTGCTGTATTTTGTAGTATTAACAGATTTTTGTATTTGTCGACCTTGTTAATGTATGACAGCCTAAACCTCCAAAATTCAAAAGACCTTGTCAACAACATATTTATTTATTCTTGTTGACACCACTTGGAGTTTAGCTCCTTGATGCCCAAGTAAAACGTATCTGGAACCGAACATGTACCTTAAATTCTTTAAACATATATTGTTTTATTTTCGTCAGTTCAAACCTCATCTGCTTGCGTTGGGTGACAAACAATTCATATTTTAAGTTTTCAATTATGTAACATTTAAATAAAATTAATATTTAATATATTGTCAATATATTTTTTTAATTTTATAAGTAAAATTAAAGATTGACATATGCTATATTTATTTTTTAAAATATATTTACGTATCATCTTATTAATTTTGTTTGTAAATTTATATGATTTACATTACAAATTAAAAAAAAAATTACAAATGCACCATGGTTGATTTAGTATATTGTTAAGAATTGATTATGATCATTAACTAATAATCAGCAAGGATTTAATTTCTTCGCTACTTTAAAGTGTTGAAAATTTTGGCTGATTTAATTTAAGATTTTAAAAAAAATTTAGCCAAAAATTTATTCTTTATTTTAATATTGTATATATTATTGGTTTGACCATCTACACTAGGCCTCTTCTTCTCAATGGCTCAGAGTTCGTGGATTCAAAGGACTTTATATGCGTGATATTTTTTTAGATAGATAAATATAAAGTTTAAAAAATTAAAATTTTCAAAAAAAAAATTTTGGACAAAAAATCTTTCCCAAATTTCCTTCTTTCTCATATACCCATTTCATCACGCATGATACATCCACCCACCAAATATAGCTGGAGTTATTATTATTAATTTATAAGTATTAGATTTATACAATAAATTGCATATTCAACTATTATATTATAATTCATAATTAAATTATAATCATTAAAAAATCAATAAATAAATTAAAATATAATTAAATAATAAATTTTATATACAATAAAATTTAAATTTAAAATCTCAATATTTCAAAATCTTTTCCGTACCCATAAATCAAATCTCATTGCTAGTTATTATTTTTATTATTTAACAAGATTTGCACATTATATGTAACATATCCCATATTGACTTTGGACTTTCCAAAGAAAGGCATTAGTCAACGTCACCTGCGGCTGATCCAACGGGCCAACCAGTCAACCCCATACATATTCATTCTACTACATTCACACGAATTGCAACAAGTGTAGCTTGTCCATCAAGCACCCTTCCCATTTTTTTTGCTTTTCTTCCGTTACATTTACATTATGGCCTGCGTAATCAAAATCACAACAACATAATGATATAATATAATAAAAATAATATAATTTAAAATTTTAAAAATAATTATATATAAATTTAATAAAATAAAAAAATTATATTTTACATTTTTATAATAACATAAATTATGATATTTTTTTTTATATAAAATACGATATAAATATATAAATTTTAATATTTTATATAATACAAATATATGAATTAGTAAATATATTTTCAATTTAAGTGTAAAATTAATACCTGTCATATAATATAATACTATTATTATGGTCAAATTATGT